ATTTATAAAATTTTCATATATGTATTTTAAAATTGTTTCTAGGGTGACTGTGCAAGCTTCTTTTTGCTTGTTTAACCTGCTGCCAGCTGATATGGTTGATGCAGATTTACTGAAGTTCAATTAGCAGTAAGTACATTATTCAAACATTAACTACAAAAATATCACATGGAGATAGGACCTCTCAGAGTCTCCATATCTCAGTTATATTGCCACTACAAATCACATATAGGAGAGATGATCATAAGGGGCATCACTGGGATCAGAGAGCTGGATGTAACTGGACATTCATAATTGTTTGCCCTGGGCAACTTTTCCCTGCTTCTGAAAAGACATCATAACTTTTTATCCCTCAAGTTCACACAGCCAATGCTATAACAGAGTTAAATCTCAGAAATCAAAGTGAAATCTCAGATAGCTTTATGTTCTACTTATTGCAGCATGCAGTATTACACTGGATGATAAGGCAAAATGACCTTTGCTCTGTGACATTGCAAGAATTAAAATTAAAATTCAAGGACCATCTTATTCTTTTTTACTTCAAAAAGGGTAAGGTGATGATGAGAAGTTTTGGTCCTTGGTATGGCTATAAGCGTTGTAGATCAGCTATAAAATCTACTCGATTGGCAAATATTTTCTGATATGTACCCAATTTTATGGATTAGAGATGAATGTATTATTTTAAGACAAGCACGTTCTTTATTAGCTATGTAGAAACATTCAGACTTCATGGCCTCATTTTGTTTTTTAATGCAACTTAAATCGAGGAAAGCTTTGCCAATCCAGCTTCTTGCTTTCCTCTTTAGATAGTTCCTTTCCTGTTTAACAAGGTTTTGTTACTAAGTCATATTTGGAGTGATGAATAAGATGGTGAGCTCCTTACAGTTCAGGACTATATACCTCATGCCTAGAAAAGTGACTGGCTCAAATCACTTTTTTAAAACGAGTAAGTTAACAAGAAGAATGCTCAGTAAACATCTTACAACTCTCAAATTCTCTTTTGAATAAGACTGAGTACAAATAAATAAAATGTCTCAAATGGTTGGAAAGGGAAGGGCATCAACATTTATCAAATGCCAGCGTGTGCAAGCACCGTGTGGCTTTTGCTCATTCAGGTCTTACCCAGCCTTGTGTGGTAGACATTATTGACTCAACAAGTATTTATTGATTGCCTCCTGTGTGTCAGGCCTAGTGGTAAATGCTGGGGACACAATACAGCAGATCTTGTAACAGATTCCCTCTGAAACGTGCCCTCTCACGCACATGCCATGTTATATGCTTCTGACTAAATGGCTACTCTGGAAGACACCTGTGCTTTTCTGCTAGCATAGTTTGTATCCTTACAATGAGTCAGTACTTTTCGTTTCAAATGTATTGATATCATATGCAGTCGTTATTAATAATTACAACATTTAATTGCGCTTATATTTTATAAACTTAGGAAATATACGTGTGAAATGAAAGTTATTTCTATGAAAATTGAGTTGAATGCTTTAGAAAGATATGATGAAGATAAGTTGTAAAAAATTACTATCAAATCTGGTGTGATAAGAACTGTACATGTTTTTGGGCGAAGTCATAAAAATCTAAAGATATTCTGTACTCAGATTGCCATGTAAACAGCTTTAGATTCTCTCTGTAACTCATAGTAGAAATTGAGGATCCTGTAATATGGGTACAGTACATGCAAGAAAGATGGCACAGCACTTTCATCAGTGGACCTGTACCCGAAGAAGAACCCAAAGAAAAGATTGATGATGAGTATAGTTAAGTTAAAACAGAATGGTTAATGTCTCTTCTAAGAATGATTTTTTTGCTTTAGTCAACTGTCATCCTGATCATGTCAGATAAGAAAGTAATACAGTGAGGAAATATATGTAGCCCTTGCCCTGTGGCACTGACAGTCTACGGGGAAAGAGAGACAGCAATTATATTATTATGTTATCATACAATCATAATTATCTCCATTTTTAGGAAACTAAGACTCTTGAGGTGTTACCTTTCCCGAGGTAACGTAACCAGCAGATTGAAGAACTGAGAATGAGACCCAAGCTCTTACCATCAAATCAAACTTCCTCCAATTCTCTGGCCTCATCTTTCTTTCTTTCCTTTCTTCCTTCATTTCCTCCCCTTTTTCTTCCCTTTTCTTCTCCTCTCTCTCCTCCTTAGTTGCAAGGTTTCCATCGTTAGTTAAAATACGGCAAGATTTCAGTCAATGCACTTGATTTATTTTATATGACACAACTTAATTATGAAAAAATGATATGGCAGGATTCTTACTAAGAACACATTAAAGTAATCCTTAATGAAATTTGGACAGAAAGGCTTAGGTGTGAATCCCAGTTCTATTACTTACTAGCTGTGTGACTGTGGACAAGTTCCTCTGTTCTCCTGTCTCTAAAATAGGAGTGATAATATCTTCCTCATGGGATTGTTGTGGGGCTTAAATGACCTAATACAGTACAGGGCACAGATAGCTCTCACTTATTGAGCACTTAGGAGACTAGCTGTGTGTCCTCTTTGATCTTAGTTTCTTCATTTAAAGAGTTAGGTTCTTCTAGTTCTATGACACCTTATGACTAAGGGGTTAAAATTCTGTAATTACTATACAGTTTCTATTGTTGTCTAGTTAGGGCCAAGGAGGACTTAACTGATACAAAGGTCTTTGATACACACATTCATATAGATGCACACGCATATTCACACATGTAATTTGTGTGTGACGTAGACCCACGCTTTCTGTTTCAGGTCACCTCTTTCTTCAGTGGTTTTTGACATCAATGCTTTGTTTATCAAACCTGCTCAGTCTTTAGCTCATGGTGGTACTCTCTAGGCTAAACCAGTATGGATATGGAAACCCAAACAAAAGGTAGAGTAAAAAAAACCTTTACAATAATGTAAAAGAAATATGAACGCAAACTCAGCCTTTTACACTGATTGCTAGGCAATTATCTTGGACTTTGAATATTATGAGTCATTAACTTATAGATCTTGAGTAAGCTATAATAAAAAGTATGAGTGTCAAAGGAACTTTAATAGGAGTATCTTTAAGAGTATTCTTTAAATTATGTATACTACACATGTCTGTATATTTCACATTAAGCTACATATTAATTGCTTTATTTAAGTCATTCATTCATTAATTATTTCATTCCACAAATGTTTCTGAGGGTCTGCTATTATCTGCCAGATTCAAAGGTGAATACAAGATGAGTAGGGGGCCTCCATGAGACCCCACAGACTACAAAACACTGTGATAAGGGCCCCACCGGAAGTGTAATGGGGCATTGTGGTAATACACAGAAGAGACTCCTACCTTGGTCTGCCTTGGGTTAGGGTGCACCTCACAGAAGAGGGGGTTCTTGAGCTGAGTTTTAAAGGCCAAGGTGGATTTCCTCTCCTGAACACAGAGGAGTGTCATTCCAGGCAGAGAAAACAGCATGGCAAATGTCTGGAAGCAGGAGAGAACTCTCAATACGCTTTTCATTTATTCACTTGACAGATGTTCTTTTTTTTTTTTTTTTTGTGAGGAAGATCAGCTCTGAGCTAACATCCATGCCAATCCTCCTCTTTTTTGCTGAGGAAGATTGGCCCTGGGCTAACATCCATGCCCATCTTCCTCCACTTTATGTGGGACGCCGCCACAGCATGGCGTGACAAGCAGTGCATTGGTGGCGCCCGGAATCCGAACCCAGGCCACCAGCAGCAGAGCGCGCGCACTTAACCGCTATGCCACGGGACAGGCCCCAACAGATGTTCTTGAGAGTCTGCCACATCCTGGGCTCCGTGATAGGGTGGTGAAGAGCAGTGACTGAAACCACGGAAATCTCTGCCCTCACAGAGCTTACATTCTAGTGGGAAGGAAGCAGACAAGAAACTCAATAAGTAAAACACATAGTATGTTAGTTGGTGATAAGTCCTCTGGTGAAAAATAAAACAAGAAGGAGAACAGGAAGTGTTAGGGAAAGCTGCATTTTTAAATAGGGTGATAGGGAAGGCTGCCCGCCAGATGGGTGACATTTGAGTAAAGACCTGAAGGAAGATGGGAGGGAACCATGGCAGCTCTTGTGGGGAAGAGTGTGCCTGGAAGAAAGCACAAGTGCGGCAGACTGAGTGTGGCCTGCCTGGCGTTCTAGGGCTGACAGGAAGACAGTGAGTGTGGCTGGAGCAGAGTAGGCATGAGGGAGGCCAGATCTCCTAGGTCCTTGCAGCCCTCCTTTTTACTTTGGTTTTACTGTGAGGGAAATGGTGAGGCGTAGAGAATTTCTTTGTTTGTTTACTTGACTTTATCTTTTAGAGCAGTTTTAGGGTCACAACAAAATTGAGCAGAAAGTATAGAGTTTCTATGTATTCTCTGCCCTCCCACATGCACAGTTTCCGCTACTAGTAACGTCCCCCATCAGAGTGGTACATTTGTTACAGTCGTTGAACCTACATTGACACATCATTATCACCAAAGTCCATAGTTTATGTTAGGGTTCACTCTTGGTGGTGTACATTCTATGGGTTTTGACAAATGTATAATGACATGTATCTACCATTATAGTATCATAGAGAATAGTTTTACTGCCCTAAAAATCCTCTGTGCCCTGCCTATTTATCCCTCTCTCCCATCTAAACCCCAGCAACCATTGATCTTTTTACTCTCTCCATTGTTTTGCCTTTTCTAGAATGTCATATAGTTGCATTCATACAGTATGTGGCCTTTTCACATTGGCTTCTTTCACTTAATAATATGCATTTAGATTTCCTCCACACATTTTCATGGCTTGATAGCTTATTTCTTTATAGTGCTGAATAATATCCCATTGTTTGGATGTACCAGAGTTTACTTATCCATTCATCTATTGACAGACATCCTGGTTGCTTCCAAGTTTTGGAAATTATGAATAAATCTGCTATAAGCATCTATGTGTAGGTTTTTGTGTGGATAAAAGTTTTCATCTCTTTGGGTAAATACTAAAGAGCACAATTGCTGGATCATATGGTAATGGTATGTTTAGATTTGTAAGACCCACCAAACTCTCTTCCGGAGTGGCTGTACCATTTTGCATTCCCACCACCAGTGAATGAGAGTTTCCGTTGCTCCACATACCCCACAGCATTTGGTGTCATCAGTGTTCTGGAATCTGGCCATTCTCATAGGTGTGTAGTGGTATCTCACTGTTGTTCTATTTTTGCATTTCCTTGGTGACATATGATGTAGAACATCTTTTCATATGCTTATTTGCTGTCTGTGTATCTTCTCTGGTGTGGTGTCTGTTAAGGTCTTTGGCCCATTTTTTAAATCAGGTTATTTTCTTACTGTTGAGTTTGAAGAGTTCTTTGTATATTATGGATAATAGTCATTTACAGGTATGTCTTTTGCAAATATTTCTGTGGCTTCTCTACTTATTCCCTTGATGAGGATGATTTGTTTGTTTGTTTTTGCTCCTTAGTATTTGATTTGAAAGGTGGGAGTCCAAAACTTAATAGTATGGTTTGAAAAAAAAAAAAACTTGGTTGAGAATTTGTCCTGAAAAAATCTAAAGTATGTAAAATTACATTTACTTTGTATTTAATAACATTTAAGTTATAATTACAGCTATGTGCTCATTCCTGGAATAAAGAAATAATGAGTCAAGTGTTGATGGAGAGGAGTTTGGGTATGAATTTTATGACAAAATTGCATGTCAACTATAATGACATCTTTTAATTCCCTCATAATTGTACAGCACCATCATAAAGATGGTCAAGTTTTTTTTCTTTTTGATGAAAAATATGGGAGGATTTCAAAAACTTTCCCAGGTGACTGACTCTGTTAATTATCCTTCTTTTTTGAAGGGCCTGTAACATCACTTCTGTTTATTTTCTCTCCTTCAAATATAACTAGCCTAACTCTCTGAAGTGCTCCTTTGCCATTTCATGAGTGATTTTTTTTTCTTTTTTTTTTTAATAATTTTATTTTATTTGTTTTTTCTCCCCAAAGCCCCAGTAGATAGTTGTATGTCATAGCTGCACATCCTTCTAGTTGCTGTATGTGGGACGCGGCCTCAGCATGGCCGGAGAAGCAGTGCGTCGGTGCGCGCCCGGGATCCGAACCTGGGCCACCAGCAGCGGAGCGCACGCACTTAACCGCTAAGCCACGGGGCCGGCCCTCATGAGTGATTTGAGTATATCTCCAGCATCAACTTTCTTGGCATCTTGAAATCTTATATTCATCGACAATCAACAACAGATGCCAGCAACAAGACTGTTGAAAGGAGGGTCAGGAATATACACCCTGAGTGAAGCAGGGAGGGATATTTGAGAACATCACCCAGGGACAAACCTCTCTAGGGAAAGGGTTAGTGTGTTTCAGTTCTACAAGGGATAGTTGGATCATGGGTGGAAGTATGACTCTGTCATTGTCTTTATGTGGAGGTAAAGTACGGGTATAGGAAATGTGTGTGGGTGCCATGCTGACACCTGACAAAGCCGTCACAGTGATCAGTGATGTAAGCGGTGAGGCCCTTAGTGAATATCATTGTGTTAATGACCCATGCTACTTCCCTCAGCATCATCCTACCCACAGAGGGCCTGGGGTAGTGAGATCCCAATGGTCTCTTCCACACAATTCAGTCTGAACCAACTGAATCTTTTAGGGCCAGGAATGAAGTCTTCTAGTCCCCACACCACCAGGGCTGTGAGAGTTGTGGCCACCATCACTTCCAAGATGGACCAAGCCTCTCAGCTTTCTGCTCACCTCTGAGGAGGCCTGTACTAGGGAGCAAGCATGGATCTGGTCAGGCCTCTTTGCTTCTTAACATGCGGGATCAACCCCTGACCCTTCTAAGTCATTGCCTTTCTGTTACCTACTACGGGGCTTTAAGAATGGTTAGTGGTTACTTTGCGGGGCATACCGAGTGGGAGGGGACATGGGGAGCCAGCTAGGCAGCTGGAGATGTCCTGAGCATCTTGATCTGGGAGGTGGTTCCACAGAGGAATACACATGTAAAAATTTTATTGAGCTTTTTAAAAAGACGTGTGCAATTTAAAACGTGTATTTTTTAAGCTCAGTTAAAAATATTATTTTAAATAATTTTTCCAAGGATGAAAAGAGGCCAAAGTAGGTGGTGCTTAAAAGCAAGTGCTTCTAGTGGTGATGGTTGCAGAACCTTATGAATATACTGAAAACCACCCATTATACACCTAAAATGGTAAATTTTATGGTATTTGAATAATACCTCAATTAAAAAAATCCAACCCAAAGTGACTCTGTGATCTTTGCAAATTGTTTAGCTCCTCTAAGCCTCAGGTTATTCATCCTAAACTCAGTTTGTTGTCTTGTTATGGCAGAGAAGGGGGAATGGATGTTGGCGACAATTACCATCTTGGCTTTAAATGGCCTGGAAGGTCTGCACCAAGGTCACCTCTCCCATGACTCTTGGCATCATCACCCCCGACCGTCTGTAGTCTGTGCGTGAACCTTCTGAGAGTTCCTCTAGTGCGACCTGCTCCCTCCACCCAGGGTTTCCCCTCACCTGGTGAACCCCTGTTCATCCTGCAGGTCTCAGGGCAAGCAGGGCTTTCTTAGGGAAGGCTTCCCTCATAAAAGAAGTTCATTTCCTTCTAAAATATATCTTCACAGAATCCCAGTCCTTCACTTCGGAGCACTTATTTCAGTTTGTGGCTATATTTTTATTACACTATTATTTGATTAAATCTCTTTACTCTCCTATATATAAGCCCCAGGAAGGCAGAGGCTGTGTGTTTTGGCTTACCATGATGTCTTTTGCATAGAAGAGTGGGAGCTTTCCATCAATATTCGTAGAATGAATGAATGAATGAATCAGAAACCTGGACACAGACAGAGATGCAGAGGCCCCTTTGCAAGTTCTTTCAGCTGTTCCTTAGCAGACTTGGAATCTATGACTCGTCACTTCTAGTTCAAAGTGTCACCAGATCCATATTTTTAAAAATTTCAATCTCAGAAATGTTGACCTTGTTCTTACCTCCACGTGCCACCTGGCTGCACATTAGGGTGGCATCTTAATGCACAGAAACCCCATGAGCTGAGGCAGTAATACGATAGGACGTGTAGGAGGCAATCTTCCACATCAGATAGGAAAATCATCCTATGAACACCTCATTGACCGTGTCAAAATCACAGTCCCTGTGCCAGAAAATATATGACATGACCTTTAGAATGAAACAGGCATTGATTCGCCCCCGAGGCCCCAACACTAGCTGTGTGACATTGGACAAAGTATGTCACCATTTTGAGTCTCCTTTTCCTTAAGAGAAAAACTGGGAAAAAACAACTATCTACTGTCTAAGCTTGTTGTGAAGTTTAAGTGTAATAATGTGTGGAAATGACTTTTCACCATGCTTGACACACAGTAACAACTTAATTCATGTTAACCCTTATTATTATCATGAGAATGTAAGTTACCTGGGAGCAGGGATGATGTTTGTTCTCTGCTGTATCCACAAGACCTTGAATCATATCTGGCACATAGAAGGCACTTAACATTTGTTAAACAAATATTCGGCAGTCTTGGAAGGAGGGCAGAAAGAGGGATGGGAAAGATTTTTAAAATAACATGATTTTTTTTTTTTAAAGAAGGTCACATTCGAATGGATAAAGAAGATGTGATATATATACACAATGGAATACTACTCAGCCATAGGAAACGATGAAATCCAGCCATTTGTGACAACATGGATGGACATTGCGGGTATTATGCAAAGCGAAATAAGTCAGAGGGAGAAGGTCAAATACCGTATGATCTCACTCATTAAGTAGTAGATAACAACAACAACAACAACAACAAACGAACACATAGAGACAGAGATTGGATTGGTGGTTACCAGAGGGGAAGGGGGGAGGGAGGAAGACAAAGGGGATAATTAGGCGCATGTGTGTGGTGATGGATGGTAATCAGTATTTGGGTGGTGAACATGAGAACATGATGTAGTCCATGCAGAAATAGAAGTATAATGATGTACACCTGAAATTTATACAATGTTACAAACCGATGTTACCACAATAAACAAGAACAACAGCAAAAGTCACATTATCCTACAGCACCATGTTCCCTTTTATATTTAGGAAATTGAGGGTCTTTTTCTAAAACATGCTACTACAATGGGGAGTAGGATGTAGAATTTGCATGAATGTTTCAGATAAAATTTGAGGCTTCCAATAGATTTCATGCTGGAGGAAGCTGCTTGAGCCAAGCCTTAGAGCTCAGAGAAGACAGAACATTTGCTCTCCTCCCTCATCAGAGGCAGTGAGATGAGCAGCTCTGGGGAGCATATGAGTCTTGTATTTCTTAGCATGGAATGCTTGGGTCTTCACGTTTTGGACCCATGACAAAGCCAGGTCAAAAGTATCTGGCTTCTCATGACAGTTACCCTCTGTGTCAAGGGAAGATGTGACCCTCCAAAACATCCAGGTCCCCCCAGGCCTGGCATCTGCTCAGAAACCGTAAGGGAACCATTGATCCTCTAGGTATCTCATTGGGCCAGCAAAGGTGGAGAATGCCCTGCAAGAGCTACCAACTTGACTAGCAGCCAGTCCCAGTTTGAGGGGAGGTGAGAATGAGGACATAGAGGTAATCGTGTCTGTGTGTGGGCACTGGGAAGGCAGGTGCCGGGGAAACTTCCAGGCCATGTCTACTCAGCCTTGGACCTAGGGTGGAGGGGGTGCGCAGTAGATGTGTGGGTGCACTTACACCATTTGGTCACCAGGGGGCACTGTGGCCTCATCTGTGACTGAAAATGGTGCTGCTGCTGCTGCTGCTATCTAATATTTAATGAGCTCTTATTATGTGCCTGCTCATTTATTCCCCCAATAACCTAATGAGTTCAGGACTCTCATTATTCCCTTTTATAGATAAGGAAACAGAGGCCTAAAGAAGTTAAATAAGTTGCCCAGATGACACAGTGGTGGAGCCAGAATGGGAATCTAAGCAATCTTGCTCAAGAGCACGCATTCATTGATTCAGCAGGTGTTTACTGAGCATCTTCTGTATATGGGCGACTGTGTAATTAGTAATATAAAAATAATAAATCACCCATTTATTTGGTGATTTACTTACTAAATGCCCACTAGCTTCCAGCCAAAAAAAACTGTATATACAATGATAATAAATATGTATATATGAAAACTATATATAGGAAAAATGATGATAAGAATAGTAATAAATTTAAACTGGCCAGATGTTTCATATGCATTATCTCATGGAGTCTTGACAGAAACCCTATGAAGAATGAAACTTTCCTGCCCCCATTTCACAGAGAAGGAGACTGAGGTTAAGAGAGCTTAAGTAATTTTCCAAGGCATGGAGTGAAGACTGGTAGTACTGGGATTTGAGCCTGGTCCTATCTTTTTCCAAGGCTGCCAAGCTCTTAACCTCTATAGGCTCAAAAGTCAACTTGTCCTTCCATTCATTCATGAACATTTACTTTTCAAACTGTATAAGTGGTTGGCGCTCAACCTGAGCCTCCCATCTGGTTCTGCACTGCAGGTGGTGAAGGCGTTTATTGTCCTTACCCTGTAGTTCCTGTCCCAGGACTGAGACCAGCTCACCAAGGAGCTGCAGCAGCACGTGAAGTCAGGGACAAGCCCAAAAAGTATCTGAGGAAGGTGAGCGAGGCCTGATGGATGGAGCCACTGCCCCTGAACAGTTCACAGTGCTCAGCTGCCCCAAATCTCATAGGATAACAGGGTGAAGCTTAGGTAGCCAACAGCACTAGCCTTTTCCTCTGCAGAAAACCCACAGCATTTAGCACAGGCTGCTAACAGGAGGGGCCTTTGGTTGTATCATTATTGCCTTTGATGGCTGCGTACCTTTTAAGGCGCCAGTTCTGGGAGGACAGATGCCCCTGGGAGATGATGATGCTGATGTGCTCAGGGGCTCAGCCTGTGGCTGCTTCTTGTCCTTGTGACAGTCTTTGGACACAGGCATGGACACTCCCATTTTAATGAAGGAAACCCGCTCAGGGTCACACAGCTGGGAAGCAGCACAGCTGGGTCTCAAGCCCAAGGCTCCTGGCCTGGCCTCCAGGGGTCATGAGGGGCTCCCCTGCATGAGGCTGACACTGGCTTTGGGGAACAAGCGCTTCCTTGGCTACATGAATGACCTGTTCCAGACCCCCATCTCTGTCACTTCTCCTTCTTTCCCTCCTCCCTGCTGGAGCTGTGATCAGGGTGACCCTGGCACCCTTTCTGGAAGTCCCCAGTCCCTGACAGGCTGGGCCTCTGTCCCATTCACTTCTAGGCTAGTCTGACTTCCACCCCTCCTGTACTGGTCTCTCCTTGTATAACCAGGACAGACACCCTCTGGGGCTCTTCAGGCAGGCAACAGCATCTCAACAGAATTTAGTATGCACTGTTGTTTTGTTGTCCTTTTTTTTTTTTTAACGGTTTCTTTATATTTATGGTAAAAGACATTGATTTTCTGTTATAACAGTAATAGAATATTTCCTGTTTGGTATAAATTTATATAATAATAAAAAGTGGTAGAATTTAAAGCAATGATTTTAAGCCGCCTTGGGCCTGAGTGAGTTGGGGAAACACGGTGTGCAGTCATGCAGAACAGCACCTTAGGATGCTCAAGATGGGGCCTAGGAGAGATGATCACCAGTGGGGTTTGTCCCAGTCACCTGGGTCCCTGGGCCCCTACCCACTTGCTTGGCTCTCCCTGCCCATCACTCCTGGTGCTGCCAAGCGCTCTAGGCTTTGTCCCCAGGTCCCCCAAGAGAGAAGATGATGAACTTTCTCTCTTAAAATGCTAACTCTCCTGGAGATCCTGGGAGATCAATCATGAGAGTTAGCTTGGATTTTCCCCCACTGAGGTTCATAATGTAAAGCCCGTGCTAACAGGTAGCAGGGTGACATAGAAAAGTGACATATCCACCACTGTTTCAGGTGTGAAGATGTCTGTTTAATCCAGGGTGATTTTGAGATCATACAATCTTGTCACACAGAGTGTAATATCCAGGGCAGAAGAAGACATATTTTGTTACCATTTTATCATGATCATATCATGATGTGAGAGTTTTTGACTTTCAGTTTGTTCAGTGTTTTTCGTGTTATGTGGACAGGAGTGACAACTTCCAAGCTCCTTACAAGCTGGATCAGAATCCAGGAGTCCATATCTTTTATTTGTTTCCTTTAGATCACTATCTTGAACAGAAATTAATGTGCGAAATGGAAGTTAACTTTGTAAAATGCTCTAATCGTTTTAGTAAAGAACTTAGTGAGCAAGACAATATATTTTCAATGCAAAAACTTATATTATAAATTTTAAATATCCATTTATAAACCCTTCCCTTCAAAAAGAAAACACAGATATTAAGTCATTGGTGAGCCCATCTCTCTTCCCACTTGCCCCTGCCTGTGGGGTTGGGTGACAAGGGACAGGGAAGTTCAGTGTCTCCTGAGCATTGTGTGAAGTTAAAGGAATATCTGTGATTTTCTGTTTGCCCTCCATGGATGCATTTTCCTGTAACCACATTATTATGACTGGCTTTTGATACTGCAATGATATTCCAATATTTTGGCAAGTTTTTTGGGCTGACCTCAGCATCTGATCATCATTTAAAACTCTTGAATGGGGAAATGTGTTTTAGGAGTCAAGAAAGTGTGTCTTTCCATGGTATTAAAATGGGGTCCTGCCCGAATTTTATTGAGCTATAATTGCACAGGGGATGACTCAGGTGTGGGAAGCACTTTTTCTTGAAATGTTAGGTGTCATTTCTGCTGTTTATTGTGCTTGTTCTCTAGCCATCTCCCACTCTCTTTCTCATTTGATGACCCTCTGTTTTTAGTGGTCTGGGGAAATCATAGGACCTGATGTGTTGTAATTGTTTATCAATTCAGCAAATAGTGAATGCTGTAATATTTCAGAAAAGCTTTCTATTGATTGAAAGAGGCATCCTAGTACAAAGATTTTGCCTTTCCTTTTATTTTTTAAATTTTTTTGGAGGCTTTTAAAATAATCCCAGATTCTGGACTTCAGTGTGAATATTGGGATTGACAAAAAATCAGGTAAATAATGCATTAGTGTATTTATAAAAATGCCTGCCACATTCACTATGAAAATGAAGTGATTGGTGTTCATTTAACAGAAGGTACACAGATCTTTTTGTCAAAAATAAGTTATTTACCTTTGTGCTCTTTATCAGAGATGATTTGTGAAGTTTCATGACAAACAGGAAATTATAATTTTTCTTATTTTTAATCCTGTGAATCATTATGCTGAACAAAATGATGATTATAGTTTCATTGGATTAGTATTTTGACATTTTATCAGGAACTATAGATTTTTACTAATAATATGTTCAACATCATATTTAATTTTGTTTCTTCCTCTCCTAGATAAAGCCTCGAGTATATCAAGGTAAGATTTTAGGCTTTAGTTTTCTTTGTAATATTTTCTCAGTATGGGTGTTTGATGTGGGTTTTAATTCAATTGGGAGTAAATACAGTGACTTCTGATGTCTAATTGACTTTTTAATGCTTGAAAATTTTACTCTTCCGAAGTTGGAGTCTAAATGACAATGTAGAGGGAGTTGACATCTATTGAGATAAGAGACGAGCAGGAGGAACAGATCTCGGGAGTAGGGACAATAGGATGAGTTTAATTTTGCACGGAAAGGTTTAGGAAGCAAGTGATGGGATGAGTCTGAAGTTTGCAGTGAGTACGTTGACACGACCTGGCTCTTGGTGAAATGTAGAGACGATGAAACACTATTGGAGCCTATCAAGAAGCTTGTGGCTTAGAGAAGAACCCAGGTAAAGTGTGTCACAACCATGGGTTATGAGTATGAAGTAGAGGGAGCCACTCATGCCCGTGGAGAATGAGTGGAAATGAACCTGATGCAAAATAAGTCAGGAGATATGAGTGGAGGATTCAAGGATTGGAAACAGAGAGCCTCAACGTCTAATAAATGTAACCTGGAAGGTATGTTGATTGTTGGGAAGAAAACTTCATATAGTAAAAATGAGTTTGCAGTGAGAAGGTGAAAACTGACTTCTTGCCTTCAGGATTCTCTCCTTTCTCCTCTCCCCACCACAACCAAGTTCTTGGGAACATGTGCACACACACAAAGAAAATTGTTTTATGCTTTACAGAAAGGAGAAAGAAACTAGAAGACAACTGTGAGGCACTGAGACCTGTTAAAGTGGCAAAGGAAGCCGAATTAAAAATATTAGAAAAGAACATAGGCATTATTGTTGAAATCTGTGGACAAAGAAAGTGGGTCACAGAACAGTAAGCTATTCATGTGTTGATTGTTACAAATACCATTGTATTAGTGAATGTGTGGACCAGTGTAGATAACTATAATTTTTTTTAGAATATTTATCACTGTATTTTTGCCGTATTGTCAGTATAGAATTGTGTTTCTCCTTTCTGCCTTGATTTTTGTAATCTGCATCTTCCTTTCCATTCTAACCGGTTGTCAGAGATTCTTGTTTGTAATTAATTTAAGATTGGAGGGAGTACTGGTTCCAGCTTTAATCACTTCCTTATCTGGAACCCTCTGGGTTCATTTACATTGTACTCTAGGTTTCAATCCCATCGTATTGTCCTGACCTGCCATATGTCTATCATTTCCTATTAAATTCTAAACATTGGATAGAAAATATTTAGAGAAAAATTGAGGCCTAGTATGATGTCATCTTGCTGCAGAAAAGATGAGAGATTACACCCGGCAGGTGATCAGGGACGCCAGCAGTACTGAATCCTATTAATCCAGTTAGCGACTGAGACCATTCACTGCAGGCTTAATCCCTCCTAAGGCCAGTGTGTTTTCTGTCTGCCTTTGTTCTTAGTGTGTAAGTCTCCTGGGACCCAGTTAAGGCCCGCGCAATTTTCTGGGGTGACCTTTGCTGACTGACCATGAACTCCAGTTGTTTGACTTCTGTGCCCAGGGATGTGTGCAAATGTGGCTCAGCCTCTTTGCATCTCAGAAGTCTCCTCTGGAATTAATTGATGAACTTTGGAGAAAGTGGCCCCAAATGCCAGGCTGACCTTAATCCTGGGCTTTCTTCTTCTCTGTCTTGGCCTCATGTCTCTTTACTGACTTGTTAGCAATTTGGTGCAGTCTATCATGAATTTCATATTTTGGCCAATGTTTCCTATGGTTCTCAGGGGGAGATGAGGGACTTCAGACCCACTCAGCCATGTTCAAAGGCAAAACTTTTCTTATGTTCCCTCAAGAGTTAGGTTTGTGTTATCCCTGCCCAAGCCTAGGGTAGGTTGCTCTGTCCTCACTGCCATCTTGTTTGCATTAAACTATGAGATATTTTAGGGTGGGGATGGTGCCCTGCTTCCCTCTGTATCCTCAACACCTTACAATGCACCCACTACCTTCTAGCCAGTCTAGAAAGCATTTGCTGAAAGATTGTGAGTGGAGTCACGTGGGAGGAAGTGGGTGGAGTCATCTGGAGATAAGTGGGTGGGGTCAGTGGAAGGAAGTGGGTGGAGTCACATGGACTGGTGGAGTTACTTTTATGGTGGTAAAAGGAAAGGGACTTGAGGATTATCCTAGCACATTGTTGGTTGAGAGCAACATCTCACTTATTGAGATGAGGAAGACTAGGGACAGGTTTGGGGGTTGATCTCTTTCTTACTGTGCCAAAATACAGTGTAAACAAATCAATCCACCTCATTTTTTAGTCAAACTCTGGGGACCCCAACCTGTTCGAGGTGGTGTGCATAGTTGTTAAGTGCAGTCTCCAGAGTGAGATTGCCTGGGATTATGTCTCAAGGGCTTTCTAGCTGTGTGATCCTGACTGGTTGCTTAACCTCTCTTTGCCTCACTTTCCTCATCTGTAAAGTGGGGATAAGGAAACCTAGCTCCCAGTGATGTTGTGAGAACTAGATGAATGCCCAGCCTGTCATAAACACTCATCAAATGTTGCTATTATGGCTTCCCTCGCAGCCGTGTTTGAATTCCAGGCCAAACAGCTCTTCTAAGGCAGCGCCAACCAGGAAAAAGTGGGAATGAGTAAAACAGGGTCAAAGACATTCGGTGACTTTTATTATTCAGCCCCCACCCACCCACCACAATGATATATAATTTTATTGGAGTAGATCCACTCAGTAAATGATGCCAGGACCTGGAAAATGGGCACCTTCCCTCCTGGCTTTGGAGAAGCTACAGTTCATCCTTAACTCTTGGTTTCCTCTCTTGTCTTAGAGGTCCTTTTGGCTTAGCCACCTTCTCCTCTGCTGTTTCCTTCTGCCCAGCTGGCTCTTCCAGCTTGGTCCCATTGTCCAGCTCAGGCAACTTCTGCTCAGGTGACTCTTTCTCCATAAAAGGTACCTCTTCTTCCTCAGCTAATACTTCCTCTTCTATCACTTCAGTTTGTTCAACAGACAATAGCTATTCAAGAAAAGAAGGGAGAGAGGGAAGGAAGAAGGAGGATAAAGAAAGAGGTAAGAAATGTGTGATGATTGTGATTGTAATTGCCAAGTCCACTTTTTCTGAAAGGGCCCAGAGAGAGGCACCTGGGTGATCCTCTTAGATGCAAAGGTCCATTTGGCTTGAGTGGGGGCATTCTCAACTGTGATTTTGCCCCTCCAATAACAGAACCTTTGGGGAACCACCCTTCCTTCACTCTTGAGTTCACAGATGTGGCTGCCCCCACGCCTAGCTCTGGGGCTGGGCATGTGACCCAGGCCTTGCTAATGAGATATCTGTCCAGAACATTTGCTGGGACTACTAAGAAGTAGGTGCTTTCTTTCTAAGCTGGGAGGATATTAGTTTAGAGCTGTGGGGCAATCTTTGACTCTCCATGTGTAAATGACTGCTTGGGAATGAAGCCAACATAGAGGAAAACAGAGATAGGGAGATAGAAAATGAGCTTGAGCTTCTGAAGCCACCCATGCCTGATGTTCTACCAGTTATGTAGGATAAATTCCCATTGTTGCCTAAGCCCAAGAGTAGTGTTTCTGACATTGGCAACTGAAGGGTCCTAGCTAACACAGATGGCATCTTCCAGCAGATGGCCTCACTGAAGCATGAACAGGACTAGGAGAGAATGGGGATTGTCATCCGGTCCATCAGGAGAATAATGCCACAGGGTAGGATCCCAGCAAGACATCTGGTTACCAACTCAGGAACAGTGGACCCAGGGAAGCAGCCTTAGGAGCTGTGTGAGACCTTAGAGCCTTTGCCCCTCCCAGTGTTTCTAACATCTGCCATTTCTGCTTCCTTGGAGTAAGTGCCTTTGAAATAAAATCTTCCAAACTGGTTGGTTGTTCAGCTGTCTTCAAATATCTCCAGAGTACAGAAGAATATGGAACTCTTGGCACACTCTTTCCTAGTCCATTGAGGTCTTGATGATTCTGTATGGGACAGAATAACCTAGGGTACTGCTGTTTTGCCTTACCTCATCTTCATCCTCAATCCTGGTCTTGATTTGGCTTTCTAGGAAGTCCAAAAAGCCCTTCACGGTATGTTCTCCCTTATATGGTACAGCCTAGGAAGAAAACAGAACAGGGTCAAAACGGTAGCCTCTTCCTGCAGAATACTCAGGGATTGCTTCAGGTAAACCCAAAGTCACATTCCTAACAACCTGAGTACAGTGAGCAGGTTCCTTAACCTCTCTGAGCCTCCATTACCATTTATTATCTAAGAGAAGGATAATAAAAATTCCTCCATCCATGATGACTGGGTCAGGGATGGGCAACTGACCTAAGCTGGACCCACTTTGAGTCTTGAGACTTTTGTGGAAGCTAATGGAAGACACTCTTTAACGTGAACTTGAGAGGGAAATAGGAGCTGGAGTTGAGAATGAAGCTGATTTGGTAGAAGGCAGAGCTGGAAACAGGGAGAAACCGAGTCTGTGCTAATAACACAACAACATTTCCAGTTATGTGAGTCCCAAGAGCCCCTCACTTGTTGAGAGTCAGTGGGGAAGAGCCTGAAGAAGGGGTACCGGTCCAGGTTCATCAGCTGAATGTCGTTTGCCGTGATGTCAATCTTGGCGATGGTGACTGTGGAGTGGTTTTGATACTTTCTGCCCAACTCCTCAAGCACTGGGAACAGCGCCCTGCACTTCTCAGACCAGGGCGCATCTGGAAGAGAAGGGCCGTTGCTCATGCTCACAGTAATAAGGACTCTGAAAGCCAGCACTCCCCCATAAACACCATCACTGGGTTCTACTAGTGCTTCTGCTGCTTTGCAAATTGGAGTCCTCCTTTCTTTTAATAGTATATTAGGTTATTTTACATTTCAAACATGGTACCTGATCGTTATTAAATAAATTAGAAAAAAATCAACCCTCTCTCTTTTTGCCCAGACACTAACACTTGTAGCATGTTGGGATGTTTTCTCCTATTCTTTGTTTTGCCTTTAACGTAGCTTTCCACTCCAGTTGAAGAAGAAAACCAAGAAAAATATTTACGCTAGATGCTTCCTCATGCTCTGCCAGAAAGTGTGTGTGTGTGTCTGTGTGTGACAGCACAGGTTTTCCAGTGGAGGGTAAACTTGTAGCCCAAGGTCACCCAGTGAGTTAAGCAGAGGAAGTGGGGTTTGAAGACAGGTTGCTTTGACTTGTGACCATCATACCACACTGCTTGTCAATCTGGTGGAGGAGAATGTGCCCATGAAGTGAACAGGATGTTGTGACAAGTACCACTATCCCCGGAAAGGGGACATTGGACTTCCTTGTGGACAGTTCTTTGAGCTTTGATTCTGGCCCAGGCACCTAGCCCTCTGGAGAGAAATCAGGGACCAGCTCCAACATGGAAGGGAAATTGAACCTTGCCTGCTCATCGTTCCATTGACATTTCTGGCTGTGTGGGAGGAGTGGCCTCAGCAGCCCCAGACACTCCACGTCTGGATGATCACCCCTCCATCTACAAACCCAGTGCCTCCAGGACCCCCTGCTCTCCCAGCAGAGCCCCCGCAGCTCCCCAGAGCCGGATGGGCCCTGGGTTGCAGCAGGAGGGGGCATAATGGCTGCAGTCCCAGGGGGCCAATCTGACAGCCCTGCTTCCAAGAAAATGAGGCTGCTTTTGCCTTTTCCAGAGCCAAATGGGCACTCTCGTAGCTCCGGGTGTCAGGTAAGTACAGGAAGGCTGCCCCAGCCTCTCATTTAAAGGCAGCAGATCATGGTTATTCAGCCACGCAGACCTTAAGCACCTCGCCCTGTGGATAAGAGTGCATCTCAGTGGGATTTTACAAGGCCTGCATGATGCAATGCAGCCCTTGTTTCACCATCCAGGAAAGGATGGGATCAGAGCTCGAACTGAACTTTTTGCCTTGCAGCTTACTGACTGACTGACCTGGGGAAGGTAGTTAACCTCTCTAAGGCTGGGTTCCCTCATCTGTATCGTGGGGAGATCCACTGCACCTTCCTAAGAGGCTTGTTTTGAGGAGGCGATGACAGCGGGTGTGTCAACAGCAAACTCATGTCTGGCTCATGGAATGTGCTCAGTAAGTGGTAACCATGTCTGTTAAATAAAAGAGATGTCTGAGGTAACTTCATTGTCACCCTTCTCTGTGTCTCAGGGTGGGAGACAAGGTCCCTGGCTTTGGCTCTCACATGCAAATAAGAAACAGTGGAGAAAGGGCCAGAGTCCTTAGGTGAGCACGGGAAATAATTATAACAAAGGGAATAATAATAGCAACAATAGCTGTCTCTTGTCAAGTGCTTACGATATGCCAGACACTGTGCTAAGTCCTTTACATGCATGATTTGGGTCCCCAGTTTGGCCACACAAACTCCGGTAGGTTAAATACAGGCCATTTGGTAAGTCACATAAAGCCAGAAGCAGGGGGATTCGGTACAGCAGTTACCAGCAGAGGCCCTGGGGTCAGGTGCTTAGGTTTCAATCCCAGTTCCAGCACTTACTAGCTGCCTGACTTTGGAAAAGTTTCTTCACCTCCCTGGGACTCTATTTAGTCATCTGTAAAGTGGGAGCAATAATAGTAGCTACTTTCAAAACTATGTTGTGAGGATTAAGTGAGATAATGTATAGAATGGCTCAGCACAAGGCCTGGTGTACCGTGGTGTTCAATCAATGTTGACCATGAGCACTATTATTTTATAAATAGCCACAGGCCTGGATTATGTGCATGGTGTTCTACACGTTCCAAGAATTCGATTTTTGAGGAGAGTTGCATTGTAGCTGATTAAGGATCTTGATCCAAACTCTTTGGATGTCTGAAGACCATTTGTGGCATGGTGCTTTGATAGATATTGGATATTTTGGTGCCCAAGAATTCAGGAGCCACCTTGTAAAGTCAGGGCCACTGCCTTCCGTGGCCTCTGTGGAAGTACTTACAGAACATCACAAATACGTCCCTTTCCTTGTCAAAGACAATGATGTTGAAGTTCTTCCCAACGAGCTGCTTAACCGGCCCCTGATCCCAATATTTTGGAATCTCTTCACTGGATTGATGTTTCTAGGAAGCAAATTTGAAAGGTCTAAGAGTCTCCGGAAAGAAGTTGGCAGTTGGGTCTCCCAGCCCTGACTGGAAACAATGGCAAGTCTTCTCTTGTTCTTACAGGAAGAGACTTGGGAAGGAGCTTGAAATGCTGAGACAGATCATGAGCTTGATGTCAAGCCTGGATTGTCCAGGGCCAGTTGGGATCAGAGGGCTGAGGAGGAGGCAGGGCTCCAAACTGGGATGGACTCTAGCATCTCAAATACACGATTCTGGGAATTCTTAGATGAGAGTGGGGCTCACGTCTTTAACATCTTACCTAGTTTGTTCCCCCTGCAAAAAATTAGCTGTCCCCAGTTACTCTGAGCATGAAAACCAAGATAATTTACATGACCTAGAAAATCCTTATCACACTTTGGTTCCTGCCAACCTCTCCAAGCTCATCACCATTCCCTTGCTTTCTTCAGCCATACTGGTCTTCTATACCCCAAAGGGCCAGCCTTCCTCCCACCTCAGGCCTTTGCTTGAGGCCCATCCCCCTCCTCATTCCTACATTCCCTTCTCCATTTGGTTAACTCAGATTTATCCTTCAGAATGACCTCAAGGGAGGACTTCTCTGACTCTCACCCAGACTAGGTCAGATCCTGCTCCCCTATCTTCTTGTAACACTTGGTACTTGTCCTTGTATCACTTATTCAAGTTTATCATTTATATTTATTTTTCTGGTTATTTGATTAATGTGTCTCTACCACACTAGACAGAATGTCACAAGGGACTTTTCTTCTCTCGTCACTGAGTATCCACTGCCTGGTACATAGTAGGACCTCAATAAATATTTTGTGAATGAGTGAATGAATGAACCAAGCTCTTGCTTCTCTTTGAAGGAAGTGGTATAAATTTCAGAACCTATATTTTTCTCTACAGCCATTGCTTCCTGAATATCTCTTTTCCCTGCACTGCTACTACCCTAGTCCAGGAAGCCTTCCTCTCTCATCTAGATCACTGTACTAGCCTCCTAGTGTTCTCTCTGCATCTCCTCCTAATCCTCTCCATAACTTTATTCTCCTACAAGCAGGGTTCTGCTTTCCCCATGCAAATGCAGCTTCCAATTGCTTTTAGGATACCAAATCCTTAATATGTGTACAAGTCCTTGCTGTCGGGTCTGCTCAGCTCACCGGCCTTATCTCCCACATTGCCCTCTCTCATTCCCACCACAGCCTCTGGAAATGACCTGAAGATTCTTTCCAAGAGAGCATAAAGGGGAGTCGGGGCTGGACATGGGTGATGGGAAATGGTGAACATGATGGAGAATTAGGAATCAGATCAGGCAGATCTCATTGCTCATGTGAAGGATGCTCATCTTTATTTCAAGAGCACAAGAGGACCTGTTGGCCCTGGAGAGGGAGACAGACACCTTCTGAGGTATAACTGGAGGGAAGAGAGAGAGGATGGGTAGAGCTCCAGGTAGGTTTGTAGATGTGGTTATGGAAAGTGAGGGGGCCCCTGTCTGAACCTTCTATTTTCTTAATGATACATGAGTCAAGTACTCAGCTGCGACTGAAAGTAGGAATGGGGTATGAAGAGAAATAGATTCAGAGATTAAGAGAATGAACACACTAAGAGAAACTTACATAGAGATATTAGGACATTTCTAAGGAGCCCATAGGAGGTTTAGTTTGTGATTCCATGAAGCCAGCCTGCCTCACAGTGATGTTCTTTTTCTCTAGGATAGGCCTGGAAGCAGTAGTGACAAGAGATTTTCACATATTGAGATATATGGGGTAACTATTTGGGTTCAAAACTAATTCGGCTTGAAGTAAAGAAGCCTGACTTATGGCCTATCAAACATACATTGTACATCTGCTTTAACCATTAAAGTAAAGAATGCACTGTCTTAAGATAAGAATGCATACTTCCCCTCCTAGGCCCTATTGGTTGAACACCCTATTGGTAATGCCCTATTGGTAACTCCCCGATTAGTCCCTTTCACGACATCAGGGTCACGTTGACCTGCTAATTTGCAACTAAATATCTCTCTGAAACTTTGATGAAAATGTATCCTACCTGTGTTTTTTGTTCTAAAAAGATAGAAGACTGTACTGAAAACCATGCTTCTCTGGAATGCTTTCTTAGGCCTTCCCGAGTTATAATCCTCACTCTGGCTCAAGTAAAACTCACCTTATTTCTTTTATCTATAGACTGGTTATTGGTTATTTGCATCGATAGTAGGGAAAGTAAGTGGGTTCAACCGGGGTTGTGATTTTGCCTGGTAAATACTACAGGGTGTAGAGGAGGTAGAAGGTGGAGGGGATAAAGGAGCTAAGGGGATCGTGATCGGAGTGATGAACCATGGAATCCAAGTTCACGAAGGAGGGCACTAACGAGATTGTGAAATGAGATCAGGAGGTTGGAGGTCATGAAAGTAGTAAGGAATTGTAGCAGTGTGGGTACTAGAGAAGGGATCTTAAGATGATGGGAAGCTTGCAACCAGGCTTTCAGAGGGGCTGCCATCTCTGGAGTGTGGCCGTGAGAGCGAGTGACTGAGATGGCATGGACACACC